GTGGACCTTTTTAATCCCATAAATCAGGCGGTGGAGGCATGTGGATCCCTGTGAATTCTAGGTCAGGCGGTCTATATAATGAGATCCAGGACAGCCAAGACAACACAGAGAAACCAAAAGTGCGCACACATGCACCACAAATTACCACCTTAAAAATAACCTAGTATGAAATTTATTATCAGTATATTGAATTTCCATCAACTCTTCCAAGCTCAAAGTCTCTTAATTCAGAGTTCCTAAAATTCCTTCTCTAATACCGTAACCAATATACTTTAAGTCTTTTGTTTCCAATCCAACATGCTATGTGTAACTCAAATGGTTCAGTTTACTCATGAATCTGAAATGCAATTAAATTACCTTAGTGCAAAAAAACTATTCAGAAAGCAAAAGAGCAATGTGAACAAAAATTTAACCTCCTACACAAAAGCCTACATTACCCACAATGGTAACTAACCTCCCTCTTGAACTCCTTGACAATGTGCCGCAACAAAGCTTGGTCAAAGTCTTCACCTCCTAAGAAAGTGTCCCCATTGGTGGATTTCACCTCAAACACTCCTTTCTGAATTTCCAGGATAGAAATATCAAAGGTTCCACCACCTAAATCATACACAGCAATGCTAGAAAGAAAAAAACCCAAAAAACAAATTTAAAGCCTTAAGAAACAAAACCTATTACAAAGAATGAATTCAATAACCAAAGATTTACTTAGCTATTTTCCTGAGATATTTAATAATTTTGAAATCTACTGTTAACATACAATAAAGAAACCAGTAAAATCCATACCACACAAACCATGGTTCCAAAGTATTGATCAACATGCACAACAAAAATAAAAAAAATTGTCAAGGCTCACAAGTAAACAGTAAAATGATTCAAAGAATGAAAACTGACTATACACCTAAATTTGGAGAGAATAAAGGAAGTACATTTTTGGTCTGAGAACAATGCTTTTAATCCTATGAAATGGAAAATATAGGATACATCTTATAACTTGGTTCACAGTTCAGGTTAAATTTATAGCACAAGCTTAGCAGTGGCGGTACACACCCTTGAATCCAGCAATCAGGAGGCAGAGGCAGGAGGACCTGAGTTTGGGACCAGCCTGTTGTACAGAGCAAGTACCAGGACAGCCAGGGGATAAACCCTATCTTGAAAAATAAACCCACAACTTAATAGCACAAGGGCAGGCAAGATGGCTTTTTAGCAGGTAAAGATCCTTAGCTCCAAGCCTGATTCAATGCCAGGAACCTAGTGGAAGTTGTCCTCTGAACTCCACATGTTCACTGTGTTGTGAACATGCCCACCCCACCCCCATAATCAGTGTTAAGAAAGCTACAGGTTGGAGGGAGTTCAGCAGTTAAAAGCACAGACTGCTCTTCCAGAGGACGAGTTTAATTTCCAGTACCTATACCAGGTAGCTGTAATTTAAGCTCCAGGGGAATCTGGAATCTCTGAAGGTGTCTGCAATAACATGCATATATCCATACACAAACTTATTTGTAGTTGAAAATAAAAAAAGTAATTTTTAATTAAGACAATAAAGGGCCTTAAGGGTTAGGGCACTTGCTGCCAAGCCAGACAACCTGACC